ATATTAGATAACGATATATAAATATTGATATATCAAGAACAATACTGGGGTAAAATGTACGACAAAGTGAAAAAAGCTTTCGCATGACGCGTTTCGACTCTTAGGAATTCATCAGACTAAATTTGGTACGCTGGTGCGACTATACATGCACACGAACGAGGGATGGTGTAATTTTTAAATTTTTATATATATATATATCTCACCTATATCATCTTGATTCTTTTTGTTTTTGTTCCCATCATATATATATATATATATATATATATATATATATATAGATAGATAGATAGATAGATAGATAATATATAGATACTGATTTACTAAGCGTAGCTTATATGTGACACAAGGCCGCGACTATAGGGCATCAGCAAGAATCGAACTCACTTATCAGTTTTAATTGATCTCGCAAGAAAAGCTAGCCTTTACACTGCGTGGAAATGCCCCACTCTCTCACTATCAGATCAATCACAGATCTATCTATCTATCTATCTATCTATCTATCTATCTATCTATCTATCTATCTATCTACAGCCTTAGGAATCACTTACGGGCCCATAGCAAAGGGTTGGTCTATCTTAATCTGGCACAAGGCCATAAATACAGTGTGTACCAGTCTTTTGATTCGATTTTTAATGAAATGAACCGAGTCAAGTTGTACAGGGATAACAGATTAATCCTTTCTCGTAGGTTTATGATCGAAGTAACGTGATCGAAATCATTTTGTTGGTGCTGCTAACTCACCTAGATATAAAATATGTTGTTGACTGTTTAAAGAAAAAAAAAAAGTAATAAAAATGTTTTACAGATAATCGATATTTGATTAAGAAAGAAAATTGTTCGGTGAATAATAATTTTTCTCGTTGTCCAGATATATTATCTTCAGGTATGTTGCTCGGGGTTACTTTCTTACACCATGTTCAACACCGGTGCAATTCCATCAGAACTTTGAGGAACTTAATTTGGCTTTTGGTAAAAATAAAGAACGAACAAACGATTGGTTCCGTGGTATGATTTTTTTTTTGCTTTCTTTGTTTTTAGAATATCACTCTTGTTCTTGTGATTTTGTGTTTTATAGTATTTATGCCCCACGAAAAACATTTGGTTAAACAGCATTTTACGGTCTGTCTATGATGCTAAAAGGATTGATTCGAGCTTTTTGCCTTTACTATTGTCTCTCGACTCTGCAGGCAAACAGAGGGGAAAAATCAATTATTCGTAAGCATTGTCTGAAGAATATCGTCTTTAATCTTTGAAGGAATGCTAAAAGAAAAATCCGATTCTTGGTAATTTGACCAGATGATTTGAAAATAGACCGGGGCGAGAAATGTATCACCAACTTGTGTATATATATATATATATATATATATATATATATATATATATATATATATATATACAAGTACCCGTGATCTATCTATCTATCTATCTATCTATCTATCTATCTATCTATCTATCTATCTATCTATCGCCTTAGGAATCACTTACGGGCCCATAGCAAAGGGTTGGTTTAGGTATAAATGATAGAAATAATAACATTCCGAATGAAAAACACTAAAAAAGCTACCAAGTGAAGAGATGGTCTTCTTGTGCAAAGAACTGGCAATCATATATATATATATATATATATATATATATATATATAGCGAAAACAATATATATATTTTTTTTATATATAACGAACAATTTTAAGGAACAAAACATAAAAGTGGAAAAGTTTTCCTGTGATTTCATCCTTTAGTCCGATATATATATATATATATATATATATATATATATATATATATATATAGAGAGAGAGAGAGAGAGAGAGTGAGAGAGAGTGAGATAGATAGATAGATAAAATACACCAAGTGTATTTGTATATTTTGTATCCGTATAGTCTGTAACCTTTTACTGTAACAGAGTTACGCCAAATGACATTCCATTTGATATTAAAATGGCAGACAATCCAGAAATGTTTCCGAAGCCAGAAGCTGAAAAACTGACTCTGTGAAAAACAGACCACGAAATTAAAAAAAAAAATATTTAAATGCACACACGTAAAATATTCCAATTATAGTAAGGGTAAAATAACTCGTCATTATCTTTTACCGCATGAGAAAATTAGTGCTAAAATAAGAGTCTTCGAGAGCATAAAGTGTGGAATCAATTTCCTATTGTTATTAAATAATAAACTGCTCCCCCAGAATTACTACTTTTAATTGGAAAATATATATTTAAACACACACATGCGAAAACCTAATAATAATAATAGTAAGGACTGAACAAAATAAACCATAATCTTTGAATGTCTAAATAAACTGGCATAAAAACAGAGATTATTCTGAACATAAACTGGGGGTCGGTTTTCTATTCTTATTCAGTAATAGGCTGATCCCCCAGAAACACTACATCTTAATATATTAATTATACAATATATATTTAATGACTAACATGTATAAACTTAATAATAGTATGAACTCTCACTTTGAAACATTATTTGTAAAATATTACATTAAAATAAAATGGAATTTAGTTAGAATTAAACCAAATTTAAAATTTAAAATTAAATTGGTTATTAACTGTCGAACTGGAGATACGCTATTTAATCCATTCTTTAATCGACTTATAGATTAAAACTTAGTTTAATGAGGCCTAACACTGAATAAAAAATAGAGTTAGGAAGACTCTATAGCGCCAAATGATGCTGCTCATACTTTTTCAATCCATTAATCTTCATTTACGAATATTCTATCCGAAAAAAACTGATATTTTCCTAATCCTGTTTTTAAAATGGTGCTAGCCGCCCGTGTTCAAGCCTAGGTAAAGGTCAGCTTTTCAAATGCCGTTTTTTTTTCTAGAAAGTGCTTTCCGAGATAGAAAATCATTGAAATAATAATCAATTTGATTCGGTCTATGATTTTTCTTTATGTGCCATACCTCTTCAGGACATAGGCGATCATGGTTCTCCACAACTTCCTGTATCGTCTAGCTCTTAATAAATGTTTTTCTATTATTTCTTCTAAACTCTCTTCCGCCATCCATTTACTAAAGCTCATTAAATATGTTACGCGTTGTTTTCTTCTGTCTCTCTTGCCTTCAATCTGCCCTATGAGTATCAGATTTTCCAAGCCCTCTTTCCTCATTTCGTGCCTTAGAAACCTCAGCTGTCTTTTGCTGATGTGAAGCTTCCTTTTTGTTTCCATTTTCTCTAAAACTTCGTCGTTGCTCACATGTTCAAACCATGGTATCCTCAGCAGCCTTCTGTAGGACCATATTTCTGTTGCTTCAAGTTTCTTCTTCATCTGTGAGGAGATTGTCCAGCATTCGCTGCATACTGGAGGACAGATATCACGTAAAGAAAATTAAATACGTCCGAAATTTCGTTAGAAACCGAAAAGAGTACTGGACTGTTATGTACTAATCCTATCTGGCAGTGAATGCTAGGCAATCGCCTCAAAAATGAAGAAGAAACTTGAATCAACAGAAATGTGGTTCTACAGAAGGATGCTGAGAATACCGTGGACTGAACATGTGAACAACGACGAAGTTTTAAAGAAAATGGAAGCGAAAAGGAAATTTATACTTAATATCAGAAAGAGACAGTTGAAATTTCTAGGGCACATAATGAGGAAAGAGGGTTTGGAAAATTTGCTACTCACAAGATATATCGAAGGCAAGCGGGCAAACAAAGCATAACCTATTTTGAGTAAATGGATGTTTTGAGCTTGAGTAAATGGATGATTAAGAGAGATAAGAAAAAGGTGAAATTTATTAAGAGCTGCAAAGGACTGGAAATTGTGGAGAGCCATGATCGCCAACGTCCCGAGGGAACACCACACAAAGAAGAATGTGTTGATCTATCTACTGAACAATTTTAATTTCATTTTATTTGGCATAAGTCTGCAAAAATAGGTTAGACAGTGAGGATAGAACTCACTATTAAGTGACAACCTGACAAACAAGTTAACCACTACTCTAAGTTGTTTTTTTCTTGTGTATATTAATAAAAATGTAATTTATTTAATTGCAAACCAATAAACATATGTTTACTAAGTTTAATCGAACACAGTAACAAATGTTCAGTTGGATAGAAGGACTGTGTTGCGTCAGTCTTTACTAAATGTGAAATGCATGCCCACTTTGAAAATCAAATGTTCGAAATCCTAATTTTATTTTTTACGCTATCTAGAATCGATCACCTTGGAATATGCATCTAGTTTAAATTCTGGTGAATTCAGATTTAATTTTGAAGCAAGTTAAATGGAGTTTTATTTCAATTTTAATTTAAAAAAATTATTTATGAACTTAAATCGTTTGTGTGCCGATAAAAAAATATTTCTTTTCAATTTCCTTGCTTGATTCAAAGCAAAAAAAAAAAAAAAAAAAAAATTAAAAGTAAGAAACTATATTTTTTTCAATGTCGAAGACTTATTTTCACGGAAGTGAGTTTTCTGATATAAAATTATTTGTATATTTCGCGGTGGCTAAAAAAACTAATACAGCTTATTTGAAACGGACAAAAATATCGTCTATATTTAATAAAAATAAAATAAAGCTAAAAATCTTAAAACAAAATATTACAGAGATAAAAAGTATAAACAGTCGATTATTTTTTCCTATTTTGGGAATTTTTTTTCTTAGTAAGCGGATATTATATTTAATTTTAGTTAAAAACAATATGTAATATAGGTAGATATAATTTTGATTTTCTTTCATGATAGCCGTTCAATATTTTCTGACGACTCATATTCACTTGTAAAATTGATCAGTTTATTTTATAGATTTCTCATATTGATTTGGTTATTGATTTTATTTTATTAGTTTTGGTACTAATCCAAAATAGTATAGTTCTTTAAGATTTCGCGTTAATCTATTTCGACTATTAAAAATAATGTGGGTTAACTGAAGCATAAGGTTTTACACAGTCCTTGTTATTTTCGCTTGTTAAGTTTTGAACAGCTTTATTGTGGTTGTTTATATTTGTATAAACTGAACAGAGAGGCTAAGAATGAAATATT